ATTAATATCCTACCGTACCATAAATGTATATGTCCAAAAATTCCTCGCTGCTGAGCTCGCATGTATCTCCAGTGATGGATGAGTCCGAGAAATGGTTGGATGAAAAATAAAATTACTAATATGATACCGAAGATCATGTGAGTTGTATTGGATATCTATAAATCGTGAGCCGGGAACGTTTCGAAAGTTAAAGTGAAATGAAGAAACTTACAATCTTTCCCAAAGATGGAGTCACAGCCGCGCCTGTGACGGCTGCGGTCCCAGAACTGGACGATCCAGAATCAGAACTAGATCCAGACCCAGAATCCGAGGTCGAAGTGGGACGGCCGAATCCCCCCGTATAAGTGCTCGTAGCAGTAGCCCAAGGAGGTGTACCCGTAAACGTGCTACTTCCAAAATTTCCAAACTGTCTCTTTGTGATTTCATCAATAACAATGCGTTTTGCAAGTGTTGTCGATTCGCCAATTGAGCCATATTTTAATCCTGCAAGCTTGATTCCCAAGCCTAGACCTACAATCAAGAAGGAAAAGGACAGGATTTGAAGAATGGCGTGGAGCCATGGTCGGCCAAAAACACGCATGGAAAGGGCGCCGAGGGGGAATAGTAAGACCACGGTTATTCCCATGATAATTCCATGTGCCATATCGTATGATTGGACGGGAGAAAGTCCACTGGAGCTAGAAGAGCTCGAAGAACTTGACGAATCCGTGGAGTTGCCACTAGAAGAAGTTGTAGCTGCAGAAGTTGAAGTGAAAGGATTGGTATCAGATTCCAACTGAGCTTGCGACAGATCGAAAGTGAATGATTTATGGTTTGACCCTGAATGTTGCTTAATCGATGTCGAAGTATCGGTAGTATCAAGAGCAGAACCGGAATTCCATGCGGCAATCCAATTTGATGATGTGGATGTTGTGGATGATAGTTTAGAACTACAACTTGTGCAGAGGACATTGGCGACCATGTTTCCATCCACAATGCCACTCCCAGAAAGTAATTCAACGCTTATGCTACTATCATACTTTGGTTCGACTTGCCCGGTTCCTTTTCGAGGGGATAGTGTCACATTGCCGGTACCATCAGCATACATAACGAAGATGGTACTTCCGGACATTTGGGAACCGATGCCAAGAGCAACCCATTGATATGATGTTGGTGCCGTGAGTTGAAAGTAGACATTGTTTGAATTACTTGAGGAGATCCCAACAGAGTAAGAGGGACCACCAGAAGTAGCGGAATATGTTGCGAGAGAATAAGCAGTGGGGACTACGATGTGGGTCAGCAATCTCTAATCCAGTCAGGCTTTGAGTGGTACATACCGATGCTTATGATCGAGGCTAGGGACGAGACAAGATTAGTGACTTTCATGTTGAATATTCAAAAATATTTTATCACAGTATCAATATCAACACCAGATCAAAGGAAGGTTCATTATTCAATATGGGGGGCACCGAGGTTTTAATATTGAATATGTTTGAGGACGCCGAAGAAGCAAAATCATAATAAAAGGTATTCCTACAAACTGCTTACGAAATGGCGTCCGCAGCTTGACTCCATATGCAAGCTCGACCAACCAAAATCAATTGGAATAAACAATTGCAGTTGAAACAGATCCCGCATCTAAGCTTACCTTCCCGCGCCTTCGTATTGGTAGTGCAATTACAGTTTTACACATAGATTTAGCACCATAGACGTGCAATCAAAACTTTGATGTGTTCTTAAAAAGCGGTAATCTCAGACATCCTCTGATAAACCGATAGATCTACAGGACGTGCGTGATTTTTGCATGCCAGATTCCCAATCCATTCTTTTCATAGAGATCCCGGACGGTCAATGCTCTTGATGGAAGTTTGAGTTGCAGAGTCAGTCGATTCAGCCAAGTGAATTTGGTATTTATCAGGCTCATGTGGTGTTTTGTGTGAACAATCGCAACGATATGGATGGGTAAGAAAATATTGATTGCGCGTCCATGCGTGTGCCAAGTAATTGTGAAATATACCGGTAAGGCTGGGACGTCATACTGAGTATCAGTGTGAAATTTAGTACAGAAGACTGTACTTTGTAAATGGGGCTGATATGTCGGAGCTTTGTGATGGGGAAGTCCGATTCTAATAACACCCTTGTGTACGGATTTTGAGCCCAGTGTCCGGACAAATAGACTTGAGTTTTCAGCGGGGCGAAGTTTTCTATGGAATTAGAAATCAATAGCTACAAAAAAAAACCGAAGTATCGAGATTCAAAAGTATAGAGAAAATTGGTTGAGTGGGAAATCGGAATACATCGATGAAAGACATGGCCAATATGGTGCTTCGAGATTGTGCGCCAACGCAGAGCAAGAATAATAGAACATAACTATGGACGCATAAACCGAAAAAGCAAAAAGAATACACCCTTCAATGACGTATCTCACTGGAGATCCCAAACACACGGCTGCTTTCACAAAATTTCACGCCCAATGTCTTGAACGCAATCCGAGTTCCCTTTTCCAATATCATATTATAACTTCCCTATCCGCTATTGGGCTATAGCTATCCAATCTGTTTTAAGCATTCTGTTTGCCGTGGCTCCACTAAGTTCGTCAAGACTCTCTTTTAACGCGAAAGATTCAATGCCGCATTCTGAGAGACGCGAAGTGCAGGTCATTGAACCCAAGTTAAATGAGAGGTTCGAATATTGACTGGGTTTTCTTCCATGGAAACAAATAGACTATGCTTTCAGAGATCTGCTGCGTCTCGAAATTCGATTTTCTGACAATTTGTCGTGTTTCATCCGCAGTCGACCTATTCCACCCAGTGACCTCGAAGATTGTATGGCTCTCATGGTGTCATGAGCTTTTCCAGATCTTCTGCCCTCCATCATTTTATCCAATAGCCGTCTTAATGTAGGCTTCCGAATCAGTATTCCTTTCTTTCGAAACGCCCAGAAATTCGCTCCAACTCTTTCATGAGAGAATGCAATGATTCGCTTGCTCTCCTGGCATTATCTTCCTCCACCTTTCTTTTATATTCTGCCTCTTTTGCTTCCGCATTCTTTGCGGAAACACTTTCGCTTGATCCCTTCCTATAGGAATAGCGTCTTTCTCGCTTCCCCTCGTAAGTATAGTTACCCGATGCCTTCGATGTTTGAGATCCCGCGTTACTTATTACTTTCTTATACTGACGATCGTAAAGACTTCGCTGTTCTTTATCAGATAACACTTCGTACGCAGTTCTGACCTTTCGATAAATCAGCACTAAAATCTCTTTTTGGTTTCCCTATTGTTAGACGAAAAATAGTCAACCTTTATAAACTCCTTCGTTGGCCCACCATTATTTTTATCAGGGTGGTAGGTTTTAGCCAAAGCGAAGAAAGCATTCTTTATATCTTGCGCAACAGCATTGTGTGAAATTCCAAGAGTTGCGTAGTGGTCTGGTATTAATTGATCCATACTTCAAGTCTGGGGAAAGGATCGCTTTGGGGTATTCATACTCCCATTGTGGGCATGGCCCACTCTTGTCTGCAATCTAGAATGCTTGTCATGACCCGTAATGCTGCATAAGGTTGTGACAGAATGGTACGTGTCAGTGCTTCATTGCAGCGGGAAAGATTTCAGTAAGTTAGCAAGCATAATCAGGGCGATTTGATAGCATTTCCACATGTTAATGTGCAAAGTTCCTGAGAAGGCAGTCAACTCAAAATGCAGGGGAAATGTGTCAACTCATGACTGAATTACATATAGGGTATAAGACGCAGTACTATCGCTTGATAAACGGCATATGATCAGGATGGGTCGTACATGAAATGACAAAATGCTCTCAAGATTAGGAGGATTTTCATACGCCTACCATAGCATCAGGACCCTGGGTATTTCCATTACTTTTTAATGGGAAGGCGCACACGCTTCTTGTCCCTTTCAACATCTATGATGTCACCGTAACCACTTTGTTCTTTTCCAAAATTGCAGAACTTCTTGGAGGCACCTACGTGAATGCTTTGAGTAAATTTTGCTTCCATCTCCTTGGCCGGTAGAGGTTTTTGCGGATCATAACAACATAAAATGTTCATGCCTAGCACTGTGAGATCAGAGCGATTTTCTAGGTTTGTAGCTTCTGCTGTACATCCTGACTAGTTCCCGTTCTCACTCTGTCGGTTCTCAGCACGTTGGGCGACTAATCGCGAGAATGCGACAGCTGAATTGGGTTCTTTGGGAGGTCCGCTTGCAACCTTCTTGTTGCTTTTCTTTAGATAGGCTCCTAAATAGTGGATTATTAGGGTCTCCGAGCGACGACCTATTCTTAGCCAAATGTCGATTCAATTATTATCTCCATTGAAAGACGCCAATGGTTTCAACACCAGTATTCAATATCCACCATAAATTCTGGTTGGAATTGCATGTGTGCTCGAGATCGTAGAGGATTGAGCGCGCTTCGAGGAGTTGAGTTTCCTGTGCTGTGCCGGTATGTGCTCTGGAACTTCGCAAGAAGGAATTCGCATTACCAAACATAGCATAGCGAAGCATTTCGGCGCAGGCTATGGCATTCTTGTCAACGAATATCAATGAGGGGTATTGTTGCATCAGTCATAACGCTCACAGCCTTCGCGGATAAAATATTGCAGCCAGTCAAATCGAGATCGATAAAATTTGAGATGGTTCCTTCGAGCTAGGAATTGGATGTGCTTATATACAACTCAGCATAGTGATGATGTAGTTGCTTCTGAGCTAGAGTAGGGATGAAAGGGAAACACAATGAGACGGATCAACTTTTCTAAAAGAAGAAGGGGAGCAACTGAAGAAGGGCCTATCAAATGAAACTCGAATTTCAGAGGGACTCGAAGAAAAGACAAATGCGTATCATCAAACATCATTGAGATAGATGAGAGATCATTTCGAAACATGGGGTTTAATCAGTGAAGCTATTTCAGCCGGAGTTAGAAATTACTTGCCCCGACATTGATTACTAAGCGATATGTAAATTAAACTCTAACGATGCTATCATCACAGCCAAAAAGTCATCAAGATAATCATGGCCAGCAAACGAACCACAACTGCCTTGAGAATCTCGCCTCCTCTGATAAACTCAGCCAATCCCGTAAGTCTACCTCCTTACCACTGCGTTCCATTTCTGTAAAAGAAAGTTGGAAGACTTCCGTTCTGTCTTGAATTGCACTACGCCAACGGTGCTACTGATAACGCTTTTGTGCCTCTTCCTAAGAAGACATAAGTTGGATGTACTTTGCAAGTGGAAGTGCCAATCTCATAAAAGGACTATGGAATGTTAGGAACTCATTGTCATCGCTAGTGGGCAACAAGTAAATTCGACCTCCTCGCCCTTTACAGCTGCCCTTACACCGGTGCGGTTACGGTTAGAACTTCGCTTTTAAATCCTTTTCCACACAACCCACAACTACACCAATATACTTTCTTTGATCCAAAGTCCAATTCTACCAGCGCCTCAATTTCTGAGGGCCGAAGTAATGTCATTCCAGGTGAAACGAATAGTCTAAACACACTCGGTTATTCTCCTATATCTTTAGACTCATACCTGAAAATTCTTCTCGAGCTTGCGCAAGATAAAAGCCTTCAGCAGCTTACTTCAAAACCATGGATCATTTCCGTAACAGGCTCAGCTGAAGAGATTGGTGAATGCTATGAGCATATTTTGCGACAACATGGGAAAGCCAATTTGAATCTTATGATGGAAATCAATCTTTCGTGCCCTAACATTGTAGGAAAACCACCTCCTGCATATGATGGGGAAGCAATGGCCTCGTACATCAAAGTCATAAAACGTTTGAAAACAGGAACAGTCGACAGAATTCATGTAGGCATCAAAACTCCGCCGTACACGTATTCTGAGCAATTTAAGAACTTGGTTTCAGCGCTAGAATCAGGAGCCTTACCCTCTGGAGACAATGCCATATCATTTATTACCACAACGAACACTCTCGGGTCGTGCTTGATAATGGATGACCTGGGCAACCCTGCACTGGGTTCTTCAAATGGCGAAGGTATTGGTGGAATGGCTGGTGATGCATTACATCCCATCGCATTAGGAAATGTCAAAACAATCCGAAGAATGCTAGATGCATCACCCTTAGAGCACATGAAGAGTATAGAGATAATTGGTGTTGGAGGTGTAAAAGATAGCGCGGGGTTTAGCAGGATGCGTCAAGTCGGTGCGTCGATAGTGGGGGTGGGGACTGCATTAGGAAGAGCGGGAGTAGGTATCTTTGAGCAGATTCTTTCCGGGGTGGCAGATGAGCTTTGAATGAACAATCAATGTTCCGCCTCAGTACGTATGTCATGTTGCGATATTATCCGCGCTGAAAGTTACGTGGGTGGTGCATATCTCTCATGCGATACGATCGTTCTCATTCAGAGGCAAATGTTTTCTACCATCAGAACAAATGTTGTCGTCATATATGTCACTTTGGATGGGTCGTCCCCAAATAACAGATTTCCTAGATACTCATGAGTTCACCTTGCTCTCGTGTCCGTGAGATGCTCCCTGTATCATTCTTACCGAGATGACAAGAGAGACGTGGAAGTTAAGATTAGAGTTTTCAAAACGAATGAGTCAAAAACTTCGAATTATGATAAATATGGCATTTAGCTCTCAAGTACTTCTTTGTTCCCTTTGCTTGTTTTGAAGATTATTGTACGCATACTACGGTGACGCTCAAACACGGAAATCGTCCCACCACCTGTCTTCATCCTTTAATTGACCATTCTCATCAAACTCAACTCCCTCACTCTTCAACAATCCCAACTTTTCATTTTGATTAACGCCTGACGGGGCATTCTGCGCTTCGCCCTTGAACCCCCCGATTGCCTATTGTTGAGCAATTCATTAGCACCAAGAAGAATGTATGGTCACAAGGTTAATGGACTGATCAAATTTCCTTACCCCATCAGCACAGATAATTCGATGACACGGAACCTGCGGAGCATAAGGATTTCGTCTCAAAGCCCCCCCAACTGCTCGAGGTGCAGTTGAGAGAGCTTTGGCAAGAGAGGCGTAAGAGGAGACTTTTCCTGCAGGAATCTGGAGGAGAAGAGTGTAGACTTTCTGTGGAGGTAGAGTTAGAAAGATGATGAATAAGATTAGCAGAAACACACCCTTTGGAAATCTGTGATACTTGTCATGTTGAGATTACTTGAATCAGACAGAGAGCTTGTTTGCGACATTGCCACACAGACGAATTTAGGAAGTCCGGACTTCAGGTTGACAAATTTTTGACTTCTTAATTCTCCTTGTGGTTTCCAGGAATTTGAATTCTGATCTCTATGCATCGGTTGTAGCTTGTGAGAATGTGAATCAAGACTTTCTTAATAGCTTAGATTATCCAAAGGCTTATTCTGTTCCCCTTACGCTTTTGCGACGAACCAAACTTATTTGCTATAATGTCTCTGGATCATGGAGATTTCTCGAAGACGAACGTTCAATTCTAGCAAGAAAGAAAAATAGGCAGATATATCTGGATGGTCTTGGCAACGAGTGGAGGTCTATGGAAGGCTCTCATTGGTCACTTCTATCACAATGATTGCTGAGTCATAAATCAGGTCAACGACACCTCATTTTGAGGATATATTACCACGTATCCAATTCTAATCAGTCCAATTAAGAGCAATGTATTTAGTCGAAAAATCCCACCGTGGGTGATAGGCTAGTTCGGATGTCAAACAAACATCTCTTCCCTACTTCAACTCGACGCTACCAAGCACTACTATCTCGCGATCCTCTGGCGCATTCTTCATTCATCTATAGCGTGATCACGACCAAAATATATTGTCGTCCCACTTGTCCATCGCGTCTCGCACGTCGTGCGAATATCATTTTCCACGAGACTGCGGAAGAAGCGGAGAAAGATGGCTTTCGAGCTTGCAAGAGATGTCGGCCTGATATTGATGAGACGAGGATCAAGAACGGAGTAGATGGGGATTTGGAGCCAAAGAATACCGCTTCTATGAACCTAAACATCAGATCCAAGGCTAACGACCTAAGTGAAATGGGAAGAGGGAGAAGGATGGTTGACCAAGCAATGGAATTGATCGAGAGCGAGCTGGCCAATGGTGGCCAGAAATGGACGATTAAGAAAATGGCAAAGGAAGTAGGATTGACCGAAAGTCACTTTTGTAGGGTATTCAAGAAAGAGACAGGTGGGACTTTGGGAGAGTACAGGATGAAAGTCATCGCGCAGCAGTCGGTGGAAATGACCCAGAGCAATGAGATGACGGACGGCTGGAGTATATCCACGGACCCTGAACTGGTGTTCGATCTGGATAGTCCCTGGGATCAAATTAGCGACATGGGCAATCCAGATACCAACATCACGTTTTTTGGTCTTCGCCCGACCAGTCTATCTGACATTCATTCAGACGACGGAATGCAGTTTTTGAACTTGGAGTGCTGTGGAGATTGATCAAGAATCTCAATCACATAAGATCACACACATAAGTTCTGCGTTTCAATTTTTCCGACAAATTCATAATGATCTTTTCTGAATCTGAAGGATTTTTTTCATCAATGTTTTTCTGCAAACAGACGTCGCGTTAAAAACCCCAAGTCGGGAACAACATAACTTCATTCTCAACCATGTACAGGCAATCGCTAGTATATATTCAAGGTTTCAACGTCAGTATACGTCGGCTTGATTCGAATTCAATATATCAGGGTTACGATCTTTTTTTATCGCACAAAAAAACGCAAGTAGTATCAAGTTATTTCCACGTCGCCACGTGGGGCTGCTTCTATCTTTGCACAAAATCGCATCTTAAATATAAGCATTTAATTGATTATCGATTTCTTGATCCTTCTGTAACTCGGATTTGGTTCGTGATCGTCCAAAACGTCCACATCCTCTGCGTACCATACTGGAGTGGCGAGCTTACCATCGTATGCGTATGAGTACAGCTCTGGGCAACAATCCTAGAACAACGTGCTTAATGGTGGGCAAAGCCTTCCCTACGCGTTTAGATGATCGCTGTAATTTCCCGTACAGCATGTCTCGTCGATTCCATAATTTCGCAATCCGAAGTGTAGCCATGCCGAGTAGTGCTGTCAATTCAGAGTCCATACATATAGACTGCTAGGCAGTACATCATTGAATCAATATTTGTCAATTTGATAGACGGGTTCGTGTTCCAAGAAAGTGAATTTCATAGGAGCGTTCATGCCATCGACTGTGAATTTTGGATACAGACAAAACCCAAAGAGAGAGAGGATAAATTATTGCCAAGATTACACCAAGATAAAAGACCTTGACTATCCAGGTCCTTCGAGGTGGTTTCTCTAAGTGTTCGAAGTGAATTACTTTGGGATTTTCATCCGCGTTGTCAGTATCAGGGCAGCCTCTTATGAGTTTCCAGGCTCTAAGATTTTCATTTTTCTTCACGGGGGGACGTAGGGAGGGGGCAGTCCTGTATATCATTGATCGTACTCCTGGAATTCACGGGAGAACTCGAATACTTGGAATTAACGATTCCATTTATTGCACCTAAAAGTACATGTAACTCCAAACAATCGCCTCGATCTTATCCAAAAAGTCAATTGTAATAAAGAAACTCCCTGTACATATTTCCTAGGAAATTCTGAAAACAAGCTGAAGTTTCCGATCACTACGAAAAATTCATAAAAGTTGTCCAATCTTCAAAGTTCAAATGCATGCCAAAGACATACAAAAGAAATTTGAAATCAGATTATCAAAAAACCAAGAACCAAACTCCCCTTCGCCGCCATAGTATTCCATTCGTGAGGAATAGATTAGGTTGGAGGCCCTCTGTAGAAGAACTGAGAAGTGATATGTTAGCTTCAGTTCAGCTATAGTAGGGTTAAAACAAATGGGAAAGTACAAACATCATCTTGTTAGGCCGGAGCTTGAATTAATCTATTCAAACATTTTCTCGAATCGGCAGATAGCTCCTTTGTATCGGGGTCGATAACTGCCCAATCACAATCCAAGTCCATGTTGAAGAAGTGATAGATCACGTCTGGAACTTCTTTGCAAAATCTCAGACCGGCTCTGTCGTCATATGCATAGGCATATGAATTCTTGCATCGGTTAGAGAAGTGCTGGCTAGATGCTCGGCACTGGTTGTGATCATGGATCCCTCGGCAGCATGCCGCATCAGTATTAGAAATCTTGCAATCGGAGGCACAACCCGCATGATTTGGCTCGTCACTAAGAACAACCTTGTGGGTATTTGGACACCAACCACCGGTCGGGTCTTCGGTGCAGCCGTATGGAAGACACCTCTCGCTGTCAGGAGCTACGAGCATTTTGGCTGTGTAGCCATCTACAAGGCTGTGGTCCAAGTGAGCTCCACCAGCGTGTACATGGCCATTACCATTTGGGTTAAATGTCCCTTCGTTGACGTTGTAAATGTCACCATTCTCTCTATAGCGGAAGCCTTCGGTGGCACATCTGGTACCGTCATCATTGCAGCCGAATTGGACAATTTCTCGTCTAGTGTAAGCAGTGCCCTGAGGCCAGAACTTTTCAGTATTTGCTTCAACTAAGACCTCGCCTGGCTTTATCTGTGGACGTTGCTGGTTTCCAGGGGTTCTCAATGGTACATGGACGTAGTTGTTGTTGTAGACTACGCCTTCCAAGAAAACTGACTGCTCCGTCGCGCCAGAATTTACGTACACATGAACTGTACCTTGAGAGTTGCTTGTAATGCTACCCTTGACCTTGTGGAATTCGTGTATATTTGGGAAGTTGACGAGGTATGGCGCGGAAGATATTCCGTCTGTGAAGAGCGGAAAGTTGGTGGGAAGCTTTGGCGGATCTTGAGCCTTGATGCTTCCGGCGAGGACCGTAAGCACGACGACAATTTTTGAATATTTCACCATCTTGAATGGTTCGAATCTTATAATCTGTCAGTCATGCATGATGATATTGTAGATGGCCACATGGATCTTAATCATTCGTTAAGATCTCTAAGGGTTCAACTACTTCGGTGTAATTATAAGTGAAAGATTTGGGGATACTAACCAGAACTCTGGTGGTATATGAATCTCTGAGAATATTGTAGAAATCTGTGCTTTCGGATTCAAACTTAACGGTTTTAAGTGAGCTCTCCTTCCTTGAGGGAAGATGTTACTTTTATACCCAAAAGTCATTTAGCGCGCTGATACAAACATCATCTTACATTTGTTAGATGACTTATTTTCAACAATGATATACTCAAAAGCATCGAGGTTTTCAAGGCTAAAGTCTCTAGTCTTTACCTAAATGACTCACCATTAGGTGCAACATCATCGTCATGGCGATTTCGAACTCATGTTGGCTATCTCATCATCTCATCTAGACTTTGACGTTATTGCTTTGAAGCTTTCAAAGTAGCTAATTTTGAATATAATGAAAGTTTTCCCCGAAGTAATAGAGAATTCATAGCCCTTAGCCTCAAATCTCAATTGCAGATCTTACATAGCCACGACTGACCAATAGTACCAATCGCCGTGTCGATCAGAAATGAAAAATTTTGTGTAAAAAAGGACGGTTCTTTTGTTCAGACGTATTGACATTTAACTTTGGATCATTTGAACTCGTGCTACTAAATGTATATTGTTCCTCACTCTGATGTCACTTGTATTCTACGGTGACTAGAATCCATGATGGAAGACTAGAACCTACGGTTTGATATTAACAATCTATGAATCTGAGATAGATGCTATTCATAGACTCTTACCATAACATTCTAGAATCTAGGTGGCATGAGACTAGAATCATTGCGGTTTCCGTAATATGAAAGTATGTCTTTTATACTTCCATCAGCCAAGTATTAGAAAATCCTTGGCCATTGGTATTCGCTGACTAGCTCGCACTCCACGGACGACTATAAATTAGCGCGGACTAGAAGATGCTTGTTTGAGTAAAAGATTAATTTTGACCAGCCTTACCCTTTCAATCAAGCTGACAGAATTCTTTTGACACTTCAAACTGCCTTGAAATATCGGCGACGCATTCTATTTTCAATATCGATAACCTAGACTACGTGTGATTTAGTGGTCCAAGTAGTCAATGGTAGGTACCAATTTGAACACTGTGAAACTGAATTCATCGCAGTCATAAATCGCTGTAACTTTGACATGTCTCAAAATTGATCACGATTTTCATGGCATTTTTTAATCATTGCCAAAAACTTCACGCTGACAATCTAGCAATACAGTGAAGTAGGTCCTATTGGAAAGTTTTCGTCACAAACAATAAAGTTTTTAGACAAGAGAAAGAACGGGTTGGTTGTAATCCCCCGCCATACAAATCATATTCAAGGACGACAGAGTTACTTTGTCTTCCATTCTAGCATTGACTGCTCATCATCGGGTCGTCAAGCTAAATATTTGTCCAACAACTGAATTTCTCGACTGAATCCATTGACTTCTCAGATTCTTAATCTTGTACTACAATGGAATGACGGAATATGATCTCATAAATCAAGTCCAGTGACTTAACAAACACAGATCAAACACGTTCAAACCTAATTTGAGAATCTATGACCGTAGTGAGACTGTAGAGGAAGGGCTATAAAGTCTTCCCTTTAGAGGAAATGCAATTTTTGGCGCAAGCGAGGCACCTTTATCCGACAGGATCTCCGAAGTTGTAATTATAATAGAAGCTTGAGATCATTGAACACATGTCCTGATGAAATAGTGAACGTGTCTTTTTTGCTTGATTTAAATCCAGGTTAGCCACATTCAATGTATGATCGATGCATAGCCATGCCATCATAAACGAATCGAATCGGAGTTAGAACTCAGCTCGTACTTATCTCGTCGCAGATCACCATAGCTTGAGAACACTACAGAATGGTAATGGTATGCATGACATCATGAAGATAACGGAAAAATATGAGACCGCTTCACCTACTACTCTCAACTGGCGAATGCATTTGCAATTTCCTCTTCTGTACATCTAGCTCACGATGCTCGAAGTTCAACGTATCGGCATTGCGTTCATCAAGTTTTCCATAACCAAGTATTTTCAAATAGATTGACACTCGATTTCAACTAGATACCGAATACAGCTACTCGTGATCTTTGCACAAAGCCAGCATACAGCTCTTTAACGAAAATATAGAATCTGGTAGACCGCTCACTATCATAATGCTCCGATCACAGTTTGTCAATACATGGTTTCCAACAAACGATCGCCTAAACACTGGTTTTTGAGGTGTGCAATCTGTCCATACCAGCAGCTAAGCTCGTTGAATATGGAAGGATGACTTGCTTTTCCTAGGAAATTTTTGCTTTCGAAGAAAGGTAATATCGGGTATCATAACCATATTGCCGTTGCCACTATAAGTCGTACTTATTTCTAACCTTCAAAAGTACCGCAGGTTCCCCGTTCTTGAACTACTCGTCCTAAACCCATTTACGATTGTTGGTCGGCAATCCCCCCCCCGCCCCCTAAACTCAACATCGTCCTTGATGGGATATATACCTACCTCTATACTTTTCTAGGGAACAACTACCACAAATTAGTGAAACATGACCACGACTGATCTGTAACTTTAAGTACACTCGTGGAATAGCTTAGTGTCTCATTATCGATGGCATTATGGCGGAGATATGATTGGGTATTGTATTTGTCATTTTAAAGGAGAGAAAATTGGACCTTTATACCCAGAAGGTTGGTCATAGATTTTCAAAGGCCATGATTTATTGGCCCGATACGTTGATGTTGGTTTTCGAGTGAGTCTTCCGACCCTTCCATATATCCCGCACGTTGTGTAAAGGTCACATGATTATTGCGATCTGTCTAACCTCTTTTTTTTTCAACGTAGTGTAGTTTGAAGATCTCTGAATGCAGATTTAACATCATTTTGGTTAAAAAGTTGAAAGCTTTCGAGATAGGTCTAACTTCGTTAGGGAATCCAGAACGGCCCCGAAGCTTGGAGGGATATCCACGTGATCTTGACACACACATCTATCTATCATGACTTACATCAATGAATTTGCAAGTCCTTTGGTGCCTTGGAAAAATATGGCATTATAATCTAAGTTAATTACATGAAATTATTATAATGTTCAGTTCGTATGAGTAAGGACGTCGGTTCAATCCTCTTTGATTGTGGCAATTCTTGTACAGGTTCATCCCTGTACCCGTATGTTGAATGGCTAGATCCGGTTGTGTCGCTTGCTCCAGGCTCTGTCGTGAGGGTTCCGTTAACTACCACTGTGCCGTTTGTAGTTACATTGGCACAGCTCTCAACCGTATCTTTGGATATTGTAGGAACAAGATCTGCGGCCGTCGATGAATTTGCTTGCCAAAGCGTGAAAGTGTTCTCGTCATGGTTTGACCATGAGATAGGCTGCGGTCAGAGAGCAACGACCTAAATTTGACGTAATATAGATACTATTTTTCACTTTCGTTGAACACTCTACTGCCATTGTGTCCAACTGTGACAACAGGAGGCAAAAAATTGACTCTTCTGGATCGTCACTTAAAGCTTAGACGACCTAAACCAAATTGCTGATACAAAATTACAACTTTCATGAGCTGAATACAAAAATTTGGCTGTCATCTTTCACCAGAAGGATTCAGACTTGATATATTGTTTATTATCTGTTATTGAGAAGGTTTTGGGATTTTTCTGAATTTCTCATCGGCGCTTGATATGACGCTTCATGCGAGAACTGCATCACGACGGCAATTTCAATACCACGGCAATTGGAACTGGCCGTTATCCTGTGAGCTTCACGCAAAACTTTTGTTAGTAGCACCCCCACAGACGAAGCTAATTCAATACGTCGATTGTTTTTCCACCTCGGAAAGAAAAAATCTATGTTCCCTAGCATACCTAGAATATCAAGAGCAGCTCAAAATTCTCACCATTTACTCTCCCACGAGTATGCAAAGAGGCCTTGCTCCAGGAATTTTTAAAACCAAACATAACACTCGGCGGAAACCCAGAATAGCTTCACCAGAAGCTAGAAACCATCCATTCAGAACCCCTAGGTCTCTCCGACGGCGAAATCATATCAGAAGCTTAGGCCCCAAACTCCCGTAATATGCTCGGAGCAGGAAGAAAGAACCAATTTTGTATTCGAATCCACAGGTATCTTGACCAAAGTCGGCCCTCAATGCCAGCCCGAAAGATTTGGAGATCTAGTTTGCATATTTTCACTAGATTTCATGGAAAGATATACCGGAAGTATTGAATACGCTGTTGTTGAATCCCATATCTTGTGCCTTTCAAAGAAGTGTGTGCGGTTCTTAACTCGACCTCGCAGCCCCACTCGCTGTTTACTATCAGGTTGCGGTCAGTATCTCGGTATCTGCTCATAGGTTAAATCCATGTAACAGTCATTATTCTTTTACTTGATCATATACAGGACATGTTCCATTGTGGCGGTACGGGAAAAATATCAGCGCTGCAGACCTGTTCTGCAAGTTGTGATCAGTGGAGTTTAAGACAGCCGTAGTCGTTGCAGCTCTGGTAGAGAAATTAGCTCGTGATTTGTCGCTCAGGCCCGAGGATATAGGTGTAGACCGGGCTCCTTATGCATCTCGAGTCGACTCTCATGTTGGAGTAGAACTACGGAAAATTGGCGACGAAACAAGCCAGATGAGGTTGAAGAGCCAGACAAGCGAATTTTCTAGATTCTTAATATCGCTCTAGGTGACGGCATTGTATTTTGGTTATATCCTAAGCCCAAGTGAAAGTCGAATATAGATGGAATAGGATAATGATTTGGTTAGAAAGAATGATGTTGAATCAGAAAATCCAATCAATTCGATCGTTTCTAGCGATCATTGAGGCGTGAGTCTATCATATCTTGAATCCTATCACATGATCAGGCTTACCCCTTCTGTGTCAAACTTACTAGAATCATACCAACATCGGAAGGATATCACATCTCTGAAGTTTTTTCTCTACATCTCCTTGTAACTGATCATCCGAATACACACAATATCACATTTTCCGAGCCAATTTACGATATGGTTCTTGTGGTTATTTCTTATCTGGACTCTTGTCTTTTGAAGGGATAGCAAGTCTAGAGCAGAAAAGAGACCGCGACAGGCCTTAATATCTCCATCGAGTTTCGGACCAGTCTTCAAAATGTCTAAACAACATCAACTGAGAGTGATCATCTATAAGAACCGTGTGGGTGTATGGAAAAGCTAGAACTTGTTCTATTTGGGGAGATCCAATCCTCGTCGGCTGAAAGATAACGCGTATCTAGAGATTGGGGCTGAGCCAATCTAGATGAAACCATATATTACATATCAAATTCACGAGGACAATGTTCCTCTCAGAACGTTACTCCGTATTATATTGCAACATCATCTACATCATACTTTCGGGAAGACGGTTCATCTCAACCTTGGAAACAAAACACATTCTGCCTAATATTATTGACCGAAGAAACCGCTGAAATGAAATTGTGGGCCTCAAAGTCGTCAAACATATTAACAAAACCAGCCATCTTTATTCCAAGCTCCACCAGAGCTTGAGGATATACTCGATAACCATCATCTTCGTGGCTACTTCCATGACATGCGATATGTTCTATTTAAATCTACTGCATACTGGGTAGGTCTTCTATGCAGACCATATCTTGAATGATCACGGACCAACCTTTGATGCTACTGCTAGCCCAGTCTCTGATCCGCAAATCACGTCTGACCGCGATAATTTCTTTTGAAGATCTGTTCTCGATACAAAAAAATGGGTTATTTTGAATGACTAGAAAGGAAGAGTAATCTCTCAGTTCAACGCACAAATTAATTATCATGAAAATCTTTACCTCAAACCTTTGTAAAGTGTTCCCCCCACGCCGTTTTGTTTATATTGATGTTTGCTCAACTTAGGTTGGCCTGTCCCGGATCTTCATATAAAATATGGATCGCCAGGGGTCTTGGTCTAGAACATTACACAGACCATGCAAATGCATGAACGTTACCTTTCGTCGTCAAGTTTCAACTTGTGATGAACTACTTTTGAATTTTAGACTCACTGAGGGTTGGTGTGAAACGACGGCTAAAGAACCTTAAACATGAAGTTATGGATGAAACTAAAACGGTTAGACGTGTTGGCATAAGGTGACAATCTGGAGCGACCTCCGAGATCCTTCGCTTTCCAGATTAGAAAACATGGTGATGAGCTAACTGAATGTGATAGCAGTATCGGCTAAGTTTCAATGACTAGTTGCCGACTTTGGAAGAACAGTGGGTTTTCAAAGGAAACAGCCTTAATGTGATATTAACAGCCTGTTCCCAAAAATGAGATGGACGTAGTCGGGTATCGGAATGGCCCGTGGGCTTTGACATCGACCTAACACACAGCAGCGCCGAATCACGGGTACTCGAAGTTCACAGGTGTCCGCTTTGCATTAGCATGATTACGCACATGACAGTATATTCGTGCCTGGAATGTCATCAATGACTTATCAGGTATGCAAAAGCGAGACGAAACAAAGCGCTCGCAAGTCCTCAATCCCTGGATCACCAGGATGGACTGCCGTCTGTGTTAATACTGGACTCGGAAAATTAGACATGCAACAAGAGGATCTTGGGATGAAGTATCCTGCCTATTAGTGGTCTGAGGTCTCGAAGTTCGGACTCACATATCCCAACCGTCTCATTTCATGAACTGGTGGTACAATGAGTGGGCCTGATCATGGTGGTTCATGAAGTGCGCTTCTTCTTCGTCGAGAAAACACAAGCCTTCAGGAGTTCCACACTCTTCGTTTCGTATTAATTCAAGACGTGGAACAAAACCAAAGCATGTTATAGTTTGGGTTAGGAAATCTCGTTACGTCATGGCATGGTAAAGTATAGTTTCATCCGATCAACAAAGTGGATGAGTTGTCCCGCATCTCAAGTTTCAACAGTCTTCGGAGAGTTTAACAGATATGCAACAAAACATTCGAACGTCTCATCATTTGCTGGAATAGATAAGATGAACACAAGGTCTTGAAAGATGGATATCAGATCCACAAGTCCAATATGTTTATGAATCTATTCAAACTGTGTGTGAAATGTGTCTGTCTTGGATTAGTCTCCCGAGTTCATTGAGCACTGTTATACTCCTTCTGTCAAAGTCAAACAAACACCCTTCGCTGCGCTACATTGCCATCTCGAACGATGAGGACAAGTGACGGAGAGTGGATATCGATATGAAAAACCATTCATCCTGCGAAGGTACACGCGTATTTGAAGAAGCTATGTCAACTAACCCTTCTGCCAAACTTCGGAGAATAAATTTCGATATGCAACAGGATATTTGCCTTGTAAATCAACATTTTAAATCGCTAGTCGTGGTCAAGATCTGGTTTAATGCCATAATACCGTGGCCAGTAGTACATTTTGTTGCACATCTTGTTTTACCCCCGAAGTTATGATCATTGCTGAGTATGATTCTTTTATCGTAGAATACCAAAATATGTGCAATAAGTGGAAGCTGCATATGGTTCTGCATAAGATATATTGCGGCATGCAACAAGACTTTTGACCTTGACGTGAATCATTCATTCTAGCATGAAGTATGAGACATCTTGAAATCATAATATATTACAGATGAGCGACAAAGCTTCATATACAAAGCACCAGGGCCAGCAATTGGTCCCCTTCTATCGGAGAAAATTGTTCGACATGGAACAGAACAACAGATGGAAGATCTTACTGGAAATGAATTAGCTCTGGTGTAAAATATATATTGCTGATATGCAACAACACGCTGGAAGTTTTCGTTTGATCTGCTAGCACATAACTTTATATTACAGACATGCAACAAAACTCCCATCATCTCAGCGTCGGGTTCAGTAAAAGACCTGACAACATCGGAGAATATACATGACACGCAACAAATGGCTTTCTTGCTGTCTCAATCCCCATCCTATCCTGAGACACACAAAACCGCCGATCAGCACCCATGAACAGAAGAGGGATCATCTCCCTAATACCTAGTCAGCAATATATATTACAGACGTGCAACAAACCCACCTGATATCAGAATCCAAGTATCTCCACGGCCAATGATATATCTTACCAGTCCGGAAAATAAACTTCGATATGCAACAAAAGTCTCTGTTCCGCCTCTGGTCAAATTAACTAGACCAAGAAACCTGTTCTAGACAGGAAACAACTCCATAGTATACTGTAAGAGAATAAATTACAGACATGCAACAATAACTCCTCTCCCATTATCTCGAATCGCAAGTGAAACCAGATCGAACAAGTCACACTACAAACACTATCGACGTTGCCCAAAAAAGGAAACAAGTCCATAGCACCACAGAGTAAAATATATCAATATCTTACAATATATCACCCCCTCTTTTCTCCCCCAATAAAAAACAATATCATATATGTAAAAATATATTACCGGCCA